GCTGTTATCAGACAACTCGCTCAAGATCTACTCGATATAATTCTCCCAGCTACAGCGCTTGGATATGTCCATTTTGAAGATGGGTTTGTTGGTCTTACTGCGGTCATTTCTTCTATTATGGGTGCTCAAACACAATGGAAAAAAGTCAATGGTACAAAATAAATTATGTAAATTATCAGGTTTTCAAAAACTGTTTTTATGTACCATTTTAATTTATTTCAATGAATATCAATACTATAAAATATATATATACGACGATTGATTGTAAAAAAAAAAAAATTAGTTAATCATGTGATAAGTTTAAATTGACTGCATATCAATTGGACACGCGTTTTAGATCAAAAAAAAAAAAAAAATTTGCAGCGGACTAGACTTGCATCGTTAATTGTTTAATTGTTTAGTAGCACAGCAGGTTTTTTTGCAGCCAATTAGGTTTATATTTCAAAGATCATACCCATGTTAAAAAAAAATGTGTTACCGAACTGATCAAATCCCCATCGATTCACGTGACTTTTAATCTCAAAAAAAAAAATTTTTTTTAAAAAAAAATAAACACCTATAAAAGGAGGGCTGAAAAAAAAAAAGAATCGACTAAATATATCTCTTAAAGAAATGATAATAAGCAACACTACAATGGCCGAACAAGCAGCTCAAGAACAACCTTCCGTGATAAGAGAACGTTACTTAAATAATATAAATGGGACCGGAAACGGTAATTTTCAGTCACAACTAGATAGTACTCAGCAAAACCTTACCCCACCCTCTAGTCCAAAGAGACCGAATTACCAACTGAAATATAGTATGGTAGGTCACAAGAAAGCAGTGTCGAGTGTTAAATTTTCTCCTGATGGAAAGTGGTTAGCCAGTGCTTGTAGGTTTTTTTTCAAATAATCAAAATTTATTGATTCAATGTGCATTACTGAAAGAGGGCCCAAATTAAATCAAAGTGAACAAGGGTTTACTCTTTGAATACTCTTCATGCTTAATGTACTTGTTGCCTTTTTAATAGCTGCTGATAAAACAATAAAAATTTGGAATGCCCTTGATGGTAAATACGAAAAAACTTTTGAGGGACATAAGCTAGGTATATCAGACGTTGCCTGGTCCGTAGACTCAATGTCTTTGTGCTCTGGTTCCGATGATACTACAATACGAATCTGGCACTTGAATAAGGTAGAAATCTTAACTTTATAAGGATACTTGTATCTACTCGTTTCATTTTATCGGATATTGTAATGTAAATATTTCCTATTTCTTCGTTCATTGATTTGACAAATTGCTTTGATACAGAACACAGCCGTTAAGGTTCTCAAAGGTCACACGAATTATGTTTTCTGCGTAAATTATAATCCCCAATCGAGTTTAATCGTCTCAGGATCATTTGATGAAAGTGTTAGAATCTGGGACGCCAAAAACGGTAAGTTAACCTTGACATGACCATCGTCTCGTGATTTCAACTTTTTTTATGCTAATGAATCATAAATCATTCTATCTGACATAGGTAAATGTTTAAAGACCTTACCAGCTCATTCTGATCCAGTTTCTGCTGTACATTTCAACAGAGACGGTACGATGATTGTGTCATGTAGCTACGATGGTTTGATGTAAGTCATTTTTCTCTTTATGTGATTTCAAAACTACAATTTCATTTCCTTTCCTTTTTTATTAATTTTTTTCCTTTTTTATAGTCGCATCTGGGACACTGCGACAGGCCAATGCTTGAAAACTTTGGTTGATGATGACAACCCCCCAGTGTAAGCAACCTGAACCAATTTCAATTTAAAGAATTGCTTATTTTATGTTCAAGAATTATTTTTTTTTTTTTGTTTTCAGATCCTTTGTGAAATTTTCACCTAATGGCAAATACATTCTTGCTTCAACACTTGACAATACATTACGTCTTTGGAATTTTCATACTGGAAAATGTTTGAAAACATATACCGGTCATATTAACAATAAATACTGCGTTTTCTCGAGTTTCTCAGTTACAGGCGGAAAATGGATTGTCAGTGGAAGTGAAGATAATAGTATCTACATTTGGAATTTGCAAAGTAAAGAAATAGTGCAAAAATTGGAAGGCCATACCGGTAATTATTGTATTCATTATTTTGAATCATTTAACAATCAATTAATTCATATCAATATCTTATACATTGCGCCTTTTTTTTTAGATGTTGTTCTTACGATCGCATGCCATCCTACAAAAAATATAATCGCATCCGGATCAATTGATAATGATAGATCCGTAAGATTATGGTTTGATTCTTCATAAAATAAAAAAAAAAAAAAAAATAGTGCTGTTCCTTTTTTCTTTTATTTTTAAAACTTAGATTTATGACCGGTATTATTACCGACAAAAGTAGTATTTTTTTTTATGGAGTATCACCCTAAATTTAAGGGTGTCCTTAATTAGATTTCTTTCGTAAAATATTTGTAATCAAGTTTTTCGTTACATATTTTTTTTTTTTTTTTTTTTTTCCTGCTTTAATGCTATGGAATCAGAAAAAAAAAAAAAAAAATCAAACAAAAAATCAAAAAATCAAAAATCAAAAAAGTAAAATTGCATCAATCAAATTTAAAACAAATCGTTTTTTGTCATGTGATACATTATTTTACACGAGTTTGTACAACTGGTCGCGATCTTTATTATATCCCGTTTTACGATAACTGCAAAAAGCAAAAATTTGAACTTACTTCCTAACCGCCTTTCTCAATGACAATTATAGAACAGCTTGAGATAATCAAACAACTCGTTTTAAAAGAACGTAAAATCGTTACTTATGAGTGGTTAAGCAAATACCTTAATATTCATGTTAATGAGGCAAAACCACTCCTTTATAAGTTTGTTTCGGAATATGGGTCTTCTAACAAAGAAAGTTTTTACACAGTATATTGCATCTCTGGCTTCTCCACGATTAATGATCAACATACTGTCACTTTAATATACCAGGAGAATTTAGAAAATATACGAAAAGACTTTAGCAAAGTTTCAAGCTTACACGTATACAGCGTACAACCAAAGTGTCCCACTGAAGCCGAGTTAGTAAAAGCAAATCAAGGATCCATCGATAAAGTTTCTACTGAACCTGTTTTACCTTCAAATACGAATCGGGAAGTTACTTTAACGGTCAATAAGAAGGAGTCTTCAAATACTTCTATCAAGCCTGATGAAAAGGAGTCAGAAAAAGTCAACCCTACACAACCTGAGATATCAAAGCCAAACACTGTGACAATAAAAAGCGCGTTTTCAAAAGAAAAGCAATTGATCAACAAACAAAATGATGATTCACATTTAGGTAAGGCCACTTCCCATGAAATTGAAACTTCAAAAGAAGAACAGGAAGATAGACAATCAGAAGGGAAGCAATTTGTTAACCAAAAAAAGAACGATAAAACTGAAGATAACGTTCCTCAGGATGAATCAAAGACTTCAAATAAAAAATCAAAGAAGAGAAAGAGCGATGAATGTGAAAGTAATCTTGACGAGGCTTCAAAAGAAGGGCGGGTAAATAACAAACAAAAGAGTAAGGAGAATAAAGTAACGTACAAAAATAAAATCGCAAAGGCTAGGAAGAAGAATAAGGTTGCAGATGATCTTGACCTTCAAAATACAACTGAGAAATTTATGACCATTATGACCATAGACAATGCTGAAAAAGATCAGCCACAAGAAAAGCAATCGGCTGTGTCGGCTAGTCCTGATCAACAAAGTGCTCTTCCAACAAAGAAAAGAGGAAGACGTCAGACGTTGAAGTTTAGATCGTATGTGAACGAAAAGGGATATACGGTACGTGAAAATTATCATGAATGGGAATCATTTTCAGAAGATGAATCGGTTTTAGAACCTCCTGCAAAGAAATCACAGAAGGCAATTAAAGCACAGGAACCTAAAGGCGTCGCTAAACGTGTGAAGAAGAAGAAAGGAGACAACGGTTCCCAAAAGAGCTTATTGAATTTCTTTGGGAAAAAATGATTAAATTTATTTTGCATCATATTAAATAATTATATTTGTTGTCTGTTTATTTCAACTTATAATTGAATCTTTGAATGGCAAAATTACCGGCATTTTTTTCCTTTGGCACCAATTATTTGCATATATATTATAGTATAGATATGATATAGATAATTTGTACAAACAACTTTTGTGTGTTACATATATTAAAAAACCGAAAATTATCGAGGAGATTAATTATTTCTAAACAGAAACCTTTTGATATTTCACCTTTTAAGTTGATCAACTTATTTTTTGAGATTACACACGTATTTTGTATTTATGATACAATACCATATTCTATTAGGAAAAATTCATGATGATAGAATAGAACTCATGACTAAACCATCCCACTACCAACCTTTTTGATTTAAGATCGTAATGGTATTCTTTGCATAAGAACTTCTATTGTTTTCTTGTGTCCTTAAACTTAATTTTCATAAGCAACTTTAAAGATTTTAATAATATATGAATTCAATTGCATATCGATCATTTTTATATGGCATATACAGTAATCAAGATGATGAGGATTTCTCCAAAGGCATTTGGTAAAGCTTTTCTGTTGTTGTTGGTTTCTTTAACAATTTCTAGAATCATTCCCATGACGATTTTTTTGCATCAGTCATCCTTTACCACGGGCTTTGCATATATTTGAACTGAAATCAATTTAACTGAGCCTAAACAAATAGAAAGTTTACTGTTTGCAGATCATTTCCAAAATATATAAATTAAGTTTATCGGGTAGCATTTTTCAACTAAACGTCAGATCAATTTTGTAAATAGTTTGATTTTTTAGCAAATTAATACACAAACAAATCAATTATAAAAAGATTAAAGATCATGGACGAAACCGAATTAAACATAATGAAAGAAACACTTCAGAATCTCAAAGGGTCGTTAGTAGACCTTACTGAGGTACCACCATCGGAATCGAAAGCATTACTCGATAATGTTTCTGGGAATCTTGAAGATGTTCAAGATATTTCAATAGGGAGATCGTTTCGAGTAGGCTGGGGACCTAACGGAAGATTTGTTCGTCGTTCGAAAAAAAATGTACGCCCTATTTATACCTCTTTCGTTCCACGAATGTCAAGAATATCTAGAGCGTCACAAAGGGATATTGTTAAGTTTCATCAAGTTTTGATCGTATCTGAAGAAGATATACATACCAAAGAACGTATTAATAAATCATTGGAATTGATCTTTGAGCGGACAACATTTGAACAAGAAGACGATACTCCTTTTGTTAACGAAACGGGTTTAACTTTCATGGACTTAATATCAAATTTTGACACAAAAACAATAGATGAACATGAGAATTTAACTTGGAAACTTTGTCATGCTTTATGGGATGATATTCAACTTCTAAATGAACATTATGAAAAGGAAATCAAAGATTATAGAAAGGCTAGAATATCAAAATGGTTTCAAATCTCCAACGAGCTAAGGATGGCAGATCATTTAAAATTGTCGGGATACAGCGATGATAACACGGATTTGATTTTTGCTTACCTGACTAGCAAACAAATATCAAAAGCTTCATTAACAGCGATTAAAAACCGTGATTTCCATTTGGCGTCATTAATATCACAATTATATGGCAATGATTTTGTAAAGGAGTGTATGAATAATCAGCTTGGTCATTGGAAAGAGACTGAAGTAAATAATCTCATTTCACCAAATTATTCAAAATTTTTCGAATTATTATCTGGGAATGTCTTTGCTACAACGAAAGGTCTTGATTGGAGGACGACCATTAGTATGCAGATGTGGTATGGTTGTAGCCTTAATGATCCTTTTGATGAAGCCTTAGCCGCCTATGAAGAAGCTAGAAAGTCTTCAGAAAATATTTCAAAACCTTTTGTATGGTATAATCAACCTTTTTCGGATTGTGCTAGTGATCATTGGGCTTATTTGGATTCTGATAAACAAATCTTTGATCTTCATTATCACCTTATGAAACTTTCAACGGATTCTACTTACTCTCTTGAAGATGCTTTACTTCCTCGATCTAATCATGTTGCACCACTTGATTATCGCGTTACTTGGCTTTTGCATTATATGATTGCGCGTGTTTTTCATATACGTGACTTTAGTAATGGTGGTGTCACAGTTGACCAAACCACTTTGAAGTTCATATTTGAGTTGGAAACTTTGGGTATTTGGCAATGGGCTGTCTTTATTGCCATGTTTATTAATGAACCAGATGTTCGTAAAAATGTATTATTTGAATTATTAAATAGATATGTACATCAAATACCCAAAGAAAAAGTGGAAAACTTTCGGAATTTTGCAATTAAAACAATGAAACTTAAAGAGGAATGGTTTTCCGAAGCTCAGGAAATTTTTTCAAAGTATAAAGAAGTACCAGGTCGAAAAAGAAAATTTAGTTATTAAAATTTTTTACTATTATTACATCCAAGAACATTGAAGGTTGTTCCGTATGACAGGTTTTATGGTTATAAGTTTTTGATAATAAATTCAAGAATCTTATTAACATAATTGATCTCTTTTATTATATGCAATAAATATCTAACTAATACTTAGAAACTCAAATAGAAAGTTATAAAAATCATTTGTATAATCAAATCAAAAGTTAAAAAATGAATAGAGATATTATAATCTGTTATAATGAATTTTGCTATAAATGAACAAATAATCCAAGTAATTTTAGAATATAGAATCTGTGTAAAGTATAATAATTATTTAAAAGATCAATTCCTTGGTTTTTATTTATTAACAAATTATATAATTTATTTTTTTAATGATCTTGTAAACAAAATTGATTTATTTAATTACTATAAAATCAATTATTTATTAAGGATTCTATTGAGATTTTTATAGAAATATAAATTTTTCATAAATTAACAAAATATTTTTTTATAATAAAATTTATAATGATTTTTATAAAAATCAAAATTTATTTTTTTTTAATTAAAATAAACAAAAAAAAAAAAAAATTTTTTTAACATATTTTTTATAAAATTATAAAATATTTAAATTCTATTTATATTATAAAACTAATTATATAAAAATTTAATTAATTAAAAAAAAAAAAAAATTAATTTATAAATAAAATAAAAAAATAAATAAGTAATATAATTATAGTAAAAAATAATAATAAAAATATATATTTTATAAAATATATATAACCTTATTATTCTAATTTATTAATAATTATTATTCCTTCAACTGTCTTACCTACAAATTTGTAGGCAATTATTTTTAAATATTTTAAAATATATTCTTAAAAAATTAATATTTTTATAATAAATTTTATGAAGTTTTCTAAGTAAAAATTAAAAAAAAATATAATTAATTAGTGATTTTTTAAAGATAAAAAATAATAAATTATTATAAATAAAAAAAAATTAAAATTTTAAACTCATACAGTGACCCACAAAAGAAACGCAAGTCCGTAATACAAATTAATGCTTATCATTTTAAATCACGTGGTTTTATCGTAAAATTATGCAAATAGATTTTTTAAAAAGCTTTAAATTCAAGCTATTTATATATATAAATTTAAAATAAAGTTATATAGAAAATTTAAAAATTTTATTTAATTTAATGTTAAATAAAAAATTAGTAAATTTAATTATTTACTACCTTTTGTTATTTATTAATTATTATATTAAAACTATTTTAAAAAAAATATATAAATTTAAAAAAAAAAATATTTACAATAATTGTATAAAAAATAATTATATATTAAAAAATATATATTTTATATACCCTACCATCTCGTATAACCACCTTTTTGGCTTAAAACATCATTGATTTGCTCTGACATAGAATTTAATAATTTAATACAAATATTTGTTTTGATATTATTCCATGTTGTTTGAATCATTTCCCAAAGCTCATTCTTATTTTTAATAAGCTTATCAATATTTCTTAATTGTCGTTTCATTTCACTCCATAAGTGTTCAATCAGATTTAAATCTGGTGATTGAGCAGGCCAATCTAATACGGCAATATTTTTACTTTTTAACCATCTTTTAGTTATTCGTGTCTTATGTTTTGGATCGTTATCTTGTTGAAAGATAATATTTTCTATACTTAAATTATAATATGTTAAAGTTCCTAAGAAATCTTCATTTAAAATTTTACAATAAAGTTCTACGTCTAAGCCATCATCGATTCTACATAAATTTCTGATTTCTTGAGACGTAAAGCAACCCCATACAAATATTTCTCCACCACCGAACTTTACTGTACCTAAGACATGCTGATCCTTTAGTGCCTCTCCACTTTTTTTCCAACAATATTGACAACCATCAGACCCAAAAAGATTAAACTTACTTTCGTCTGAAAATATTACTTTATTTCAATCATCCATTTTCTAACTTTTATACTTTTTAGCAAATTCGTATCTAGCCTTTTTATGTCGAGGTTGTAGGAGTAGTTTTTTAACTTTAACGGCAGATTTTAAATTATTTCTTTTAAAAATACGTCATACAGTCTTTGAAGAAATATTAAAGTTATAATCAATTTTAATCTTTTTTTGAACTTGTACAGCATTTATGCATTCTCCACTCGTAATATATTTAATGACCTGTCTCTCTCCACGTTTTTTTACAGTTCTAGGTCTGCCAGATTTTGGTAAGTCTTTTACACTTTTTGTTTTCTTGTATTTTTCATAAAGACGTGTAATAGTGCTTATACTAACACTATATTGTTTAGCAAGTTCGCTTGGAGTATAAAGTGTTTCATCAAGTAAAACACAAATTCGAATCTTTTTCTCTTTTTTCAACTGAACTATAATATAAAATAACATAGAGTATAAATATAATGATAACATTATGGATTTTTTTTCAAAAATCTTTGATATGTTTAAAGAAGAAAAAAAATTTTAAAAAAGAATTAATTTGAATAAATTAGT